CTGATAAGAATGATAATTTTACTCACTTTTTGAATTCATCTTCACGTTAGAACAAGTTATTCAAAGTTGTGATATTAAATAAGTTACAGCAAAATGATTTATCTTTACTATTCAGGGTGTGTCATGTTATTGTCGTTTTAATACAGGTGAAAAATGTCAGCAAATTAAGAGGCAGAATAGGTTCCTTTTTGTGGCTATTTACAGCCGGCCTACTCATATCCTTTCAGTAGTGCCTCGGACCGCAGCAGAGTGAAGATGTAGCCCACATGGGCATGTGACGAGCTCAAAGTAAAATAGAATTTTCATAAATTTCAGATGTGCCTTCGTGAAAACAGTATGTATTAATGATAATATTTGAAATTCGTTTTTTTCAATTGCTCTAAAGAAAAATATGTAGAAATAGGCAAGTTTTTCGAGTTTTATTTAATTTTTTTCAATTAACAACTGAATAGTTTTTGCTAAAAAGCAGCAAGATTGCTGAGGGTTCGAGCCTACTGGCCTAGAAAGTGCTTAACTCAACATGTTGAACAGACTTCGGATAGTTTCAGGCCTAACATTCACTTCTGCCTCATTCCACCCGTCAGGAGGGTGTTGCTGCCCGCCTGTACCTCGTTTCGAGGAGGCGGTACCGCGTCACGAGGTGGTTCGACGCCCGGTTTGGCTGTCGATGATACATTGGCCCAACTACTGCCGTACTGAGTGGATGTGGAATGTCTTGTCTTGACGATTGGATCTTCTCGCGGCGCATGTCGACACGGGCTTTCCCTTCCCTTCACTCCCCTCCACTCCCCTCCACTCCCCTCCACTCGGCGTGCTTGTACCTTGTGCCACATTGACATGGTACGTACGCCCCAGCGCCAGTAAGTGTTCATCGAAGAAAGAGAGAGAGAGAGGGAAAGTGTGTGTGTGAATCTAATCGCAGCCAAGTGAATGGATAACGAGAGCTGATCCGACTGGGTAGTGGAGAAGAGTGGGGCGAGAAGGTACAGAAGGGAGAGAGAGAGGGTTGTACGGCTATTTCACAATATTGCAATGTACTATCCGAAATCAGACAAGCCATGACATTTAGTCGGCCATCTCTGCCCTCCTACACCGGCACCCGTCGCCCCTCAGTCTTAATCCGCCCTGCCCACCCCAGACCCACCTCAAACACACCCCCGCCCCACCTTGTCCACCCGTTTATCCGCGGTTTCCAGGCCTCGCCTGTATGGTATTGTCGATGGGGCATGTGTTTTGGCCTGGTGAAGGCTGAGACACACCTCACCTCTCGTCAATCCGATTGATTCATCTCGCCCCGGTTCGTCGAAATCCTTGCCTCTGTCTGTGCGTCCGGGCAGACGAGCCAGGACCGGATTTTCCTGCATACACACAGCATGTCTTCGGACAGACGTTGTGACCTGTATCGAAGGCTATCCCGTTGGCAGGGCAACTTGAGCTAGCGAGGTACAATTAACCTGCTTCCCCGTGGATTTCGGGTCTGCGAAGTGTCGGCTCTTCCGGCCGACGGTGGATGAGAGCAAACGGAAAATGAAGAAAAAGTACCAAATCTCGATTTCCCGGCCGTGAACAAGAGGCTTCCTTCATACCGGCCAGGTGGGCTGGGTGGGGGGAGGGGCAATTTTGGCAATGATAAAGCATAATTCACCACGGAACCAGAAGATGAATCAGTCGGGGTCGCTGAAGGTGTGGTATGAAACACAGAGCTGCATAACTTCGTCTCTTCAATGGGATGGACTGCAGTTTCAACTACGCCCGTG